CCATACACATGTAAAATGTGAAAATACAAAAGTGGCAAAGGAAAATTCAGATGTTTGCTGGTGATACTGCAGGCACACCATCAAAGGTAGGAGCTATGAAAGAAAAATTGATCACTGGACTTCATTAAGCTAAAACCTCGCTCTGCACTGTTACATTGAGATGCTAATAAGAGAATGAGAGACAACATACAAACTAGAAGAAACTATTTGCCAAAGATAAATCTGATAAAGAACTATTATCCAAAAAAACACATAGACCTCTTCAAACTCAACAAAAGAAAATGAAAGAACTTATTTAAAAAAAATAGTCTGGAGTTGAGAGTGAGACTCAACTGGTAGAGCATCGCATATGAAGTATGAGGCCCTGAGTTCAAATGTCAGTAACACACACACACACACACACACACACACACACACACACACGTATGGGGTTGGAAACTCACATCAGTCCTCCAACTACTCTGGATTAGAAGGACTGGAGTCCCAGTCCTGCTTGGACAGAGATTTGAGAGATGAAGAGTGACTGATGCTTCAACTCCCAAGCCTTCAGCCCTTTAGAGTAATCCCACATCCCTGCATCAAAAAAGCCCAGTGGACAGTGGCCTTTGCACCAATTTTTGTTCACTGGCCCAGTTGGATGGGTCCTGAATGTTACTGTCAATGAGGTGGAGAAAGACCAGGAGAAACGCCATAGACAACAGACAAGTGTTCCAGCTGGCCTTTCACCCTGGAAATGGATGGATTACAAATTTGCCCTTCGCTGCCTCTCGCGCCCACCCCATGGTGCTGTCAAAAGCTTTCTCTTCTGAACTTCCAGGCACCTCTCTCTCCCTTTCCCCAACAAACATTTACCTTTGCAACTGCTGACTAAGAGGCCAAAAGCCAATGACCTTAAGCCCTCACTCTTCCTCTGACCAGGTCCCAAATAAGAGCTGTGTTGCAAGGATCAGAAGCCACTGCCTGAGGCATTTGCTCAGAATGATGTAACTTCTGTCCTTTGCCATCCCCACGGACCTCAAATGTCAGCTAGGCTTCTAAATCCTTGAAATACCCAGCAACATTGCTTAAAATCCTTTTCCTTGTATGATGAAAGTTTTACTCAACTTTTTAGTGTCCCTGGCGTGGGAGGGGTGTTCCCAGAAATCAAATGTTTTGTTAGATCACCTCATGTTTTGTTTTCTTTCTTTCTGCAGTCTTTTGTGCTTTAGTTGTTTTTTTTTCCTCCCACTAATCCTAACTAAAGAGTTTTACCTTCTTTATTGTATTCCCTCTAGAGAATACTCACTGTAGGGTATTGCATATCATCTTAAGGACTGGAGGTAGAGAGAGTGGCATAGCTGATGAACTGGAAGGACCTTCAACTCCACTGGGGAATGTTTTTCATTTTTTTGTAGTTGCTGACTATATATAATTCCTTGAGTTGCTTCACCCTCTTCTTCATCCTCTATCCATCCTGCTCACCAACCGCTCTCCACCAAAAGAAAACAAAACCTCTCTCTTGTTTAAATTTCAAAAGACATGTCTTTTTAAAATTATTTTCGTTTTTGAAGATGTTTTTCAAGTTTATTGAGGTATAATCCAAGTGCACTAAATAGCACATATTTAAGATATACAATCCTCGCAATGCTGACATATGTATATCTTTGCACTCACCATTCCTCCAATAACATTTCCATGCCGCTTGCTTTCCCTTTAATCCATTCCTCCCTCTGTCCAAACCACCCCAGACAACCGCTGATGTGTGAATTTTCTCAAGTATGGCTTTTTTTATCCAGTATACTGACGCTAAGATTCTTTGATGTTGTTTATATTAATAGTTGACTTGTCTTTGTTCTAAATAAAATTCTATGTATGGTTAGACCACAACGTTCTCATTCATTCACTTACTATAACAAAATACCTGAAGCTAGCTCCCTTCTATGCAGAGGTTTATTGAGCTCACAGCTCTGGAGGCAGGCTTACGGCCATGGGGTCAGCACTGGTTTACCTCTGGTGAGGCATCATGGTGGATAAAATCACAATGGGAGTGAGGCACCAGAGCGAGAAGAAAACCAGGTTTGCTCTTCTGAGAATGAATCCTGTCTGAATAACTAACTCTGGGTCCTACCATAACTAAGTCCTTTCAAAGACAGCATCCTGAGGACCTCCCACTAAGCCCACATATCCCCCCAGTATGAACCACACGGAGATCTAAGCTCTCAACACATGAACTCACTGGCAACAGAAATAGACTGTATCCAATTCCTAGTGAAGTTCCAGAGAATGTCCATGTATGAGACTCTGTGCTTCAATTTTTTTTCTTTCTCTTTGGTAAATGCCAGTAAGTAGAATGGGTGGGCCACGTGGTAGGCGATTGTTGAACTTTGGAAGAAAGTATCATATTTATTTGCAGAGTGGATCTGGGTAGGTGGCTTCTGCTCCCCTGGGTGATGTATGAAGGTTTCATTTGCTCTGTATGCTTTAGGTTCTCATCAACATTTGATATGACCAGTCATATGTGTGCACTTACACATTTAAAGAATTGGTGGGTAGTTAATTCAGCTTTTTTTTTTTTTAAATGATCGTTTTCTTTGCTTGTTTCATTTCTCCCTTTGGCTTTGTTTCTAACAAGGGAGAACATATGGTTGGATTTATGGGAAATAAAACCAGATAGCTTTTGTTGTTCCAGAGAAATTATTAATAGCATCCCTAAGTAATTTCCAAGCATCCTGGTTTGGATAATAAAATGTACAGTTTCTTCCCAATTAATTAGTCCAGGTTGCTTTTTCACAATCCACTGCCAATCCAGGCACTCTGTTCAACAAAACTTTTCTCTAAAAGTTTTACTGTGTTTCTTAAACAGGGCAGGACTTGGATGACACAATCTAGGGCTTAGGGAAGGGCAAGGAGTGGGTATTCTTGTCATCAGATAGAGAAAACAGCTTGCTGGAAGATGAACCGACAGAGGCAGTGCTTGATGACTCCCATGAAGGCTGGTTGCAACCACACTTGAAGTGAGTTCTAGTATATCTAGTATATCTTTCTCCTACTTTTTTTTTTTAATGCCAAAGCTAGTCCTATTTGGGTTTCTACCACAAAATAATGAGAGTCTTGCTAATACTCCAAGCAAGCAGTGAAGAAATAGCATTTTGCCGAGCTTGGGCTGTGGCTCATCCATACCTGGGGTTGCGGATCAGGGCCCTGGAGTTCAAAGCAGGCACTCTGTGGGTGGGTGGCATCCACACCTTCAGAGGACTCTTGATAGTGTAGGGTCAAAGTATGCACCAGATCACCACAGGGTTTGTTTAAACCAGTTCTCTATCCCCAGGCCCTCACTCCAACTCACTAGCTCTTAATCTTTAACTAGATGATCAAGGCAAGGCCCATCCGGACACTGTTCTGAATTTTGGGGAAACCGTCTGCGTTCCCCAGTAGCATTTCCTTCCTTTTCAGCGATTAATACCCTAAGGGTACGTGTTCACTCGGGGTGCTAAGTATGCAAATGAACACCCCAAGGAAGACCTTCCCCTCCCCCCCTCCCCCCCCCCCCCCCACACACACACCGTGCGCAGCCCAGGCATTCGGGGCTGGACGGAGGGAAGACACCGCTGCAAGAAGAGAACAGGGGATAGAAGTGAGTTCGCTCCCGTCTGGAACACTGGACCTGCAGGCGTGCCTGCTTTGTCAGGAAAGCCCTGGTCGTCGCCCCAAGTCCCAGACACACATGAAATGCCGACAGACGCGCCTCTAACTCGCACAGGATCTGATCCTCCAAGAGCCCGGAGCCGGGGAGAAGCCAGGCACCCGAGGCGACCTCATAACCCCGCCCAGGCAGGAAGCCCCGCCCATCGGCCTCCAAGGTCCGCCCCCACGCCGTGGCCACGCCCCCGAGAGCTCAGGTTACTCCTTTTCCTTGTCCTGGGGCTCCGCCTAAGCCCCCATGTACTACCCTTTACAGCTTTGAGACTCTTCCTCCGCACTCTGTGGCCACGCCACTCACCGCCAAGGCACCGCCCACCACTTTCAGATTTCGCTCCCGCCTCCTTTGAATCAAGGCTACCCGGTAGCTTCACCGCGAAGGAGGCGCGATAGTACGGGCAAAGGGGTGGGCACGGCCTTGCAAGGGGAGGAGGCGTGGCCTTGCAGGCGGAGGGGTGTGGCCTGAGGACGGGGGAGGCGTGGCCTGCAGGCGGAGGAGGCGTGGCCCGACGGCGGAGGCGCGGGCGGCGCCGCGCGGACTCTGGCTTTGACACCCGCGGCGCGCGGCGGGAGGCGCGAGTTGGGTGCCGGACTTTCAGTCTGGATCCCGGCCGCGGCGGCCTTGCTGCCAGCTTCGGTGCAGCCTCGGTGTCCGGTCTCGCCGCCGCTCTCGCAGCCCGCGAACCTCCCTGCGGGTATTGCCTGTTTGCGGAGAGCCAGAGTTTCTCCCGCAGAAAGAGCCGGGCGCGCGGACCGCGGCGGCGCGGGCGCGTCCCCGCAGGGCGCAGGCCGGGCTGGAGGCCGCAGGTGAGACCGGGCCGGTGCCCTTTACCCCCAGCCGGGAGGAGGGAGCGGGGTGCGGGCGCAGCGTGGGGGGCCCCTCTCCCGTGTTTGCACGCGCGAACCCTGAGTTCACAAGTTGCCCGGCCGCCGCAGAGAAGAGGGGGGCTCGAACTCTCGTCTGGCCCGGGCGAGGGGTGACCAAAGAGTTTAGGAGGGGCGCGGGAGGCGGGAGCCCGAAGGGATGGAGTCTGGAGCCTTGTTTGAACGACTGCTGGCTCCCATGAAATCCGGCCTGGAACAGCCTGCCCCAGCCCCTGGTCCTGAACCCCAGCATTGGTCCCAGGGCTAACAGCAGACGGCTGAATTCTGCCCATCTGTGTGTTCATTTCTAGGTGGCTCAGGAAAGGTCATTTTGGTCACCAGGCATGGAAGATTTGGTGTTCGTTTGCAGCAACGTGTTCCACTCCTAAATCCTGCACCTTCCCGGGTCTGGGAAAGTTTCCCCGGCTCCCTCCCCTAGGCGCAACTCTGCAGTGGACAGGCCCCTGCTCTTTCTTGGCTGGCCATGGGGAGCACCCTGGGCTGTCATCGCTCCATCCCCAGGGACCCTTCGGATCTGTCCCACAGCCGAAAGTTCAGTGCAGCCTGCAATTTCAGCAACATCCTGGTGAATCAGGAGCGGCTCAACATCAACACGGCCACAGAGGAGGAACTGATGACCCTGCCTGGGGTGACACGGGCCGTGGCCCGCAGCATCGTGGAGTACCGGGAATACATCGGTGGCTTCAAGAAGGTGGAGGACCTGGCACTGGTCAGTGGGGTGGGTGCCACCAAATTGGAGCAGGTCAAGTTTGAGATCTGTGTGAGCAGTAAGGGCAGCTCAGCCCAGCACTCTCCCAGCTCGCTGCGTCGGGATCTGCTGGCTGAGCAGCAGCCACACCACCTGGCCACCTCGGTGCCCCTCACACCACGAGTCAACATCAACACAGCCACCCCGGCTCAGCTCATGAGTGTGCGAGGCCTCACGGAGAAGATGGCCCTCAGCATCGTGGACTTCCGCAGGGAGCACGGCCCCTTTCGCAGTGTGGAGGACTTGGTGAGGATGGATGGGATCAGTGCGGCCTTTCTGGATAGGATCCGACACCAGGTGTTTGCTGAGCGGTCCAGGCCCCCATCCACCCACACCAACGGGGGCCTGACCTTCACTGCCAAGCCGCACCCCAGCCCTACCTCACTGAGTCTGCAGAGTGAGGACTTGGACCTGCCTCCAGGGGGGCCCACGCAGATCATCTCCACTCGGCCCTCCGTAGAGGCCTTCGGAGGCACGAGGGACGGGAGGCCGGTGCTGAGGCTGGCCACCTGGAACTTTCAGGGCTGCTCGGTGGAGAAGGCTAACAACCCCGGAGTGCGTGAGGTGGTGTGCATGACACTCCTGGAAAACAGGTGAGGGATGTGACAGCAGTGGAGGGGGATGGGGGGTGGGGGGGAGACACATCTGTGGATGCAAATAAGCTCACTCTGTGGGCTAGGGAGGAGGGCAAGAATATTTACTCAGTGTTCTTGGGGTTCTAGCCCATGTTTTCAACTGAGGCCCTGCTTGCTTTCTGCTCCAGAAGCTGTGTGGGCCCAGGGCCCCCATGTTTTGAGTGTGGTGTAGCTGACATGGGGCTTGATTTGGGGGTTGGAGTTTGTGTGGGAGAGCACTGCTGTGCAGAAGATGGTTTGACTCAGGAGGCTTCCTAGGGTTCACAGTCTGTCAGCTGCTCAGCCTGGGAACACAGGCACAGTTATGCTCGTGTACTAAGAACAATTGATTGAATTTTTTTTTTTAGTGGGAGGGGGAATCACATTTGTTCCATCATACCCTATTGATATGCACAAAACCATTACCAGATGTCTGCGCATAGAAACACTGCCTGTGTTTACCAGGAAGTTGTGCATGTCACTGGCCATCCTCTTTCCTTACTGAACCTGAAGTTGGCATTCATTGCTAACCTCCCCTGTCCCATAGCCAGAAAAGGCTAAGTTCTGTGTGTGAATCCTGGCCGCATTTTCCCATCTCAGCCAAAGGAGAAGAGACTTGCAGGGCAGGCCATTGACAGAAACTGTTTATATATCATTCACGGCAGTGCTCTGTGGGAACATCCGTTAACTCCCCATAAAACAAAACAGTATATGGTGCCAGGAACTCCTGCTGTTAGTAAAATAGCGTGCATATAATGGCATCAGCTTTGGGAATTAAAGAAACATGTGAGGTCCTTTTATCGTGTTCTTGAGGGATTTCTCTCCCATCACCTAGAGGGACAATGCTGGTTTTGCTTTCTTTCGACCATCTCAGGTGGTTGGTGAGGTCAGCAGGGTGGGGTTTTGGTGACATGAAGTGATTTTTCAGTGGGAAACCACAGTGCCTTGTGCAGACCATCAGTACCGATGAGAGGAGAAAAGCAGGTCACAGTATTTCCCTGGCACCATCCGTAGGCATGCTTGTCACCAAGGAGGTGCATAGGCTGGATCTGAGAATGGGACCAGCAGCTTTCAAGTGTTCTTGCCACACGCCAGTGTCACTGGTCTGGCCCCCTCACTCACCCTTGCTGGTCATCTCATGCTCAGAAGAGCTGGATACAGCCCCTGGAGATAACTAGGCAGGAATGGTTTGAGAATGCTTCTGTCGTCAAAGCACATGGGTGGGTAGAGTGGAGGGGAAGGGCATAGGCAGCCAGGGACTGCTGTTCACTTCCTATCAGGGGTTTCCTTGAGGCCCCTTTGGATGGGATGTTGCCTCGTGGGCAGCTTTAGCAGCCCTAGCCTGTTTGTTTTCTCTCAACACTGCCCACAAAACTCTGTGTTCTGTGTTTAACACAAATTCCAGGTACTACTGATGTATGCTTGTCTTTAAGACTCATTGTACCAGATCTTGGACAAGTTTTTTTTTTTCTCTCTGCTCTTTGTGCACTCTCTCTCTTTCTCTGTCTCTCTGTCTCTGTCTCTCTCTTTCTCTGTCCCCCCTCTCTTGTTCTTTTCTTCTTTCTCTCTTTTGCTCTGAGGCTTGAACTCAGGCTTGGGTGCTATCCCTGAGCTTGTATTTGCTCTAGGCTAGTGCTCTACCACTTTGAGCTCTAGCACCATTTTCAGCTTTTTGGTGGTTCATTGAAGAGTCCCACAAACTTCCTGCCTGGGCTGGCTTTGAACCATGATGATCAGATCTCAGCCCCTTGAGTGGCTAGGATTAAAGGTGTGAGCAAGTGAAGCTTGGCTTCTGACTTTCTTTATAGAGCTCTTTTCCCTCACTGTCCTTTCTGGCCAGGCCAGTGCTTTCCTATGGAGCTTTCCAGGTACTTTTCTTTGCCTTTGATTGTTCTGATCATTTCTGTAGTTGTTCACTGTATGGCCAAGGTTCCAGGGGGCAACTCAGTTTCTAGGACATGTGAATGTGGATGGGGAGAAAGGAGAGGGTGTGAGCAGGACAGGATGACTTGAAAAGTTTGAAAGTTCTAGCAACTCAGGAGGCTGCATCCACTGAACTTGTTCTGTTGTGTGGAGATGGGGCTGCTCGCCCAGGGGTTTGCTGTGAGAAGCTTTCCCAGTATGGAGTCAGTAGGGTTTGCCCTGCTTTTATTAGGATTTTCTAGACAGATGTGGTTTGTAGAGGATATTGAACTTTTGTCTTTGAGTGTCAGGGGAAGCTACCCAAATTCAATAGGGCTTAGAAGGAGGCACCTGTAAGTGATAGAAAGATGACCCCCCCAGCTTGTTCCCATTGGCTCCATGAATTGTCCCTCCCTTCACCCCAACTTGTTCTCATTGGCTCTGTGAGTTGTCCTGGGGGTTGGTGGCTCCTCTTGCCTGGTCCTGATGCTTTGGGTATTCAGGACACTCCTAGCACATGGCTTGTGTCTAGTAAACAGGAAGTAATAGGCTTAAGGCCTGATCCTATAGCACTGAGGCGGCTGCATTTGCCTGTGTGACTGTCCTAGAGTATAGAAAGCTGTCACAGAGCGACAAGTCATACTGATTTACAGCAGCCTGGTACATTCCAGCTGTTCCTTTTATTAGTAAGAGGAAACATATTTGGTGTGAGCAAGAATGGATGCAGGTGATTTTCCTGTAGCTCTTCTTTTCCTGTATGTATATGCATGGCAGAAGAATCTTCTGACTTCTGGACATATCTTTGTGTCTTCTGACACCTTGCCCTTTGTTACATTTCCCCAGTAACTCCAGGAAGTGGTAATCCTTACTGACTATTAATGACCCTCCATCTCTGGGTGTGGAAAATAAAACTGGAGTAGTTGAATGACTTGTCTTTGAAACACAGCCCCATTAGTGACTCAGCCTGGATGAGGCTGAGTACTGGACCTTCTGCCTGTAGATCACACTGATTGTTTGTACCCAGGATATGTTTGGTGAGCAGAGCACCTTCATGCTGCCTGTTGGTCAGGCATCCCATGCTCTGCTAAGACAGGGCCCTTGCCAGATCATGTGCCAGGCACGGAAACCGAATCCTTTGTACAAATGTTTTACAGCATTCACGAGCAGGTTTGCAAAGCGAACAGCTGGCTCCTGGCGTTCCTTTCTGCAAGTTTACTTGAGTGGATGTATTTTCTTCCTGAAAGTACCCAGAGGAGCTAGGAGCTGGAGTCCTTGTCCTGAGGTGCTTCTGCCTGGGTGGATGGGAGTAAGGGAGCTACACGAGACTGTGCTTTGCTTGAGGTAGCACAGCACAGAGCCAGATAATTATAGAGTCTCCTGGAGCCTTTAGGAACACCCTGCTGGTGGTACAGAACTGATGTATCTCATCAGACTCTTCTGCTAAGCCTCAGTCTTAGTATTCTTCATGTGCAGTATTTATGGGGCAAGATAGAAAGAGAAGTGCTTCTGCAATGTCCTTGAAAGACGCTGTGGCAGGCCACGTGTAGAAAGAAGACTGTTTAATTTGTATTTGTTCTTCTGGATAATTGTTTTATTCTGTTTACTCAAGAGTCTAGACCCTGGGGACCTGACATAATCTCCAGAAGATATCAGGAGAGTTAGCATCCCAGTTGCTCTTCTCCCCCCCCCCCCCCCCCCCCACGGCCTACATCAGGAAGAAGTTCTAGTGTCTTCTAATGATTTAAATCTGATTTCTTGCCGATAGGCAGTGTTGAAGCCCCAGGTAGATTAGTGCCTGACACATGCACAGATTGTGGGAAAAGCAGTCTTTGTTGATCAGACCTGATTGGTGGGATAAATACAGACACAAACCATTTTGTCATTTTTATTGAAAACTACGTATTGAATCCCTGCCACAAACATATATGAGCTGGATGTGGAGGTCAGCTGGCCTGATCACCTGACAGAATTAACTTAAAATTAACTCCATCTTTAAGGCTTGGCATTAAAACCGTGTGGTAAGCCTAGACACATAATTGATATGGGGCTGTATTTTTCCTATGTGAATGACAAGACTTGTCCAGGGGTAGGGGAAGGACAGGTTGAGGGGCAAAATGGCTTCCTGAAGTAGAGATGGAAATCTGTTTTGCCTGTTTTGAGGAAGCTGAGGGTTGGTAAGATTAAGCAGCTTCTATGTGGCCTTTGAAAATGGAGATGTTGGAATCAGAATTTGTTTGAGCCAGGTCTTTGTTTAT